AGAGAGAGAGAGAGAGAGAGAGAGAGAGAGAGAGAGAGAGAGAGAGAAGATTTGGGCAGAAGAGAATTTGGGAAATATCTTAAAGAAGTTGGAGGATAGGAAAAAATAGTCATTATATATTACATGGAACAAAAAATACCTTCAATGAAAACATCGCATGCAAATAAGACATAGTGTCAGCAAATGTTTCAGCTATGAGCTCTCAGTTTCAGGTTGCCGTATAAGAGATGTACCTAAAGAAAATTATTCACACAGTAGTTCCATGAAGCTAGTATAAGGAGCATCAGGTCTCCTAACTTGATTAAATACTGAAGGCTGAGTTGAATCCCATGCATTGCAGAAAAAGCCAAAATAAAAGCTGACTGAGAATAATGTATCTTAAAGAGGACACAGTGGCTTAGGAAGAAGGAATACATTTCCTGCACAGGAGAAAGAAGCAGGTGACTCAGTCAGCATGTGGGAAATCTTAGCAAGTACCTGGCTATACTCTATGTCAATTGACTCTGTCTCCTGACAGGTTTCAGGAGCAATCCTCCTTCATTGATCAGTAGGTTATAGTCAGGTCCTGGCTAGAACCAGGAACCAGCTGAGAGCTGGACTCCAGCCAGGAGCCTGACTGACAAAACCCCTCTGTGAAGGGACTGATATTATCTCTGGTTGCATCGTATTGGCTAAGTGTGTGATATCATCAAGAGAATGGATTTGGGCCAATCACGAGACAAATCTCAAAGCTACCAATGGAAATCAAGGGCCTGCTGTAGCTATGGAGATTTCATCTGAGCTGCTGTTTCATGTATCTCTCCCCCTCCCTGTTGTTACCACAGAAACAGGGAAACTGAAACTAGGAAGACATAAAAAATGTGATTTAACATGAAATCTGGTCCAATTGATAACAGAGGTAAATAATTAGAGGTGCCTGGACCGTGAGCATGTACCTGGCTCCTTGGTCATAAACCCTGGCTTCCTATAAGAAAGGCCGTATTTCTGTATGAACCCTTCTGAATGTGATTCTGGGCAGCTGAGTAAAGCTTGCCCCTGAATATTTGCTATCTGCCTATGTTGATTTTCATAACTGCTATGAATGTCCACATTACCAATCACATGAAATTGGAACTCTTAGAGTGACCTACAAATGATGATTAGATTAAAGAAAGAAATGGTGAGTTCTACCCCTGGTCAAGCAATGCGCCCTATGAGCATGGAAGGTCTTGAAGTATCATAATGGTCAAGAAATAGTTAAAGATATATTATGAAAAAAACTTTCAAAATATTTCTGCAAATATATATATATATATATATATGTGTGTGTGTGTGTGTGTGTGTGTGTGTGCGCGCGCGCGCGCGCACGCAGGCACGCGCCTAGGTGTATGTGTTCACATGCAGTTATAAAGTGAGGAATGAGCATAAGTTTGCATAAATGAAACATACAGAAACAAACTCAACTGTTTTTTCTGTTGCTTCATTTCTTTAGAATGTCTCATTCAATATATTTGTACATACTATGTGTCTCTAAAGCTCTCCATTCATAATATAGCCTAAAATCCTCTTCAACATCTATTGTGTCATACCTTGAAGTAATCCTTTATTTCTCTCTGTGTGTATGTGTTTGTGTGTGTATCTGTGAGTGCTTGTGCTTGTGTGTGTGTCTGTATACATTTGTGTATGCAAGTCTGTGTGACTGCTTTCTTATTTTTAATTTTGTGATTGTGATTTAATTACAACATATATTTCTTCCCATTTTCAAACCCTCCCATATACCACTTCACACTTTCCTTCAAATTCATAACCTCTTTTTCACTAATTGTTTTGGCATGTGTATATATTTTTATATATATATATATATATATATACATACATACATACATATATATATATGTTAGAAGTCCAGTGAGATTATGTACTCTAATGCTACAATATTAGATAGGTTGACGTTTTGGAATATCACAATGACTCTATTTCCTTCTATGATCTTAGTGCCAAATACTACCTGACATTCATGAGGCCTGAATACTGGTAGGCGTCCTTACTATGCAAATCATCCCAACATATAATATTTCTATTTAAAGAAGAAAATAAAAGATTGATGAGTCTAGAGGCATAATTTGCACTGACAAAGGATAGATTTGTCTTTACTTGTACTAATTTATGTTATATTCCTTCTATGAAACTGTAATATACAGACCACAGTTTGCCCACACTCCACTGTTCCCATACCCTCCCATACACCATCCTTCTCATCTTCCCCAAATACTCCCCCTCTATCTCCCTTCAGACATGGGCAGGCCTCCCATGAGAGGAAACAAAGCATGCATAACAAATTGAAGCAGGACCAAGCATTGAGGTTAGGCAAGGAAAATAAGCTTGGGTATAGGGCTCCTCCAAACCAGCTCAAGCACCAGGGACAGGTCCTGATCCCCAAAACATTCTAAGTTACACAATTGCCACACACACACACACACACACACACACACACAGAACCTAGGTTAGTGACATGCGGATTCCCTGGCCATCAACCCAGAGATCACAAACGCCCATGAGCTCCAGCCCACTTTCTCTGTGGGTTCCCTTGTCTTGACCTTGACCCCTGACTCATACCATCTTTCCTCTCTCTCTACAACAGGAGCCTGGA